CTGCACTGCCATTTAGTAGTACCTCTAGGTTTGTTGGTGATCTAATGCTACAAGTTCTGGTAATAGTTTGAAACATGTCCTGTCTGATATTAGAATACAAAGAACATTCATTAAAATAATGATGAGAATTTTCACAGGTAAATTTACAATTACATTCAGGGTTCATTATACGACCAATCCTATATAGATCATCAATTAATCTACTATTTGAATATCTTAGCTGGGTATGAAGTACATTGAGTTTTCTATTACCAAATGAGAAATATCCTGGTGCGATTTACAACTTTTAACGGAAACTGGTTCTCTAACATATAACGGGAGATTATTCCCAAGTCGTGAAGATGACGGGGAAAATGTTTGACTGTAGAGACTTGTGTGGGAATAGGACAAGGAAATATCACGAATGTTTCTAAGATTATAGGGTGCAGACATCGTGAGTTTGTCACCTTGTTATGTAGCAGTGTTATACAGAGGTTAACAATGTTCCAAATGCACATGGTTCCAACGGTTTGCTATATTTAGACTTGTGTTATATCAAGACATAGTTCTGGAAGGTACTACATGGGCCTACAACCCCATGGGCCTTTCCGACCACATGAGTAGAATAACCTTCCGGAGTCTTTTTCTTACGTTTTCTAAAGCATTACATCTCAAATTACAAGAAAACCAACAGTTGTGTGGAAGTCATTCTGCATAAATAGCCTAGCTATATTTTGGCAAACTTGAGGTGAATATTCCCTGTTTTGTGGGGTTTTACAACTGTAATCTCTGCTAATGCATCATGCTGTATTAAAATTTATACTGCCACGCTTTTTGTAATGCCACTCAAATACCTTTGTGGTGATTTGTATTAATTATTAACCTTAGTTAAGTTTAGAATACAATTGTCACTATATCACATTGCTTTGATGTTTGTTGGTTTCACACCACGTCCTGTTACGGAATTTCAGTTAACCTTAAGTTAGGGATCATCATTTTATTTGTCTTAAAGAGGGCTTAAGAAAACTTGAGGAATTTACCAGCAAATTTCTTGAACAACGGGACGCCGGTGACAAAGATGTCAACAGGCACAAACGAAAAGCCTTACTGACGAACAAACAAACTGAGTCGGTGTGAAAAGAGAACACACTTATTGGCTATCCACATGTTGAAATCCTGGTAATCTTTTCACTGAAAAAAACAGATACTTGGTGGCTATCCACATGCAGGAACTATTTTTAACCTGTAAATGTTCACCGTTACTTCATTTCTATTTTCACCCTGTCAAATGTTTAAAGGTCCGACTAAATGAAAACTACAGTTAAGGAATGATTACATTGTCCTCACCAAAGCTTTGACCACATCTGCTGTTTGACATGGCCTGGCAATAACAAAATTGTCGTTTCTGCTGTGAATGTCATGACAGTGTGAGTTGCCATTGATGAAATATGTGTCTCAATTGAGCATGTTTGTCGACCGATATATATACCAAACTAAAACTTGACACTTGTTAAGTTGAATGTAAGATGACATAGTGTGTGCTTTAATAGATATGTATCAAACAGCTATCATAAATATATAATACAGAAGGTGATAAGTGGATTGCGGGGCTCGTTTGTACTTGCCATAGTTCTTGCAATATCTGGGGTCGGCCTCGACTGCTCCGTAGGTCATCCCAAATGTGTTCGATCAGCTTCAAGTCTTCGTACGGGAAGGCCAGTCCACAATTTCAATACCAGCATTGGTAAGAAGTTGCACGTCAGAACTGCAGTACACTCAGTCCACTGGAGGACAATAAGCTGGGATCGCCCGTTTGCACATATGTTCCCCAAACCATTATGCCTTCCCCCTTCAAATCAGTCAACCTCACGAAGCCAATACCGTGCGTGACGTTCCCCTTCCTGAGTTAAACTGCACCCCGCCAATGGTTGCATCTGTAATGTGTGCAGACTCATTGTAATCTTTGAGCATGAGGAAACTACCTTATGATAGGTCCTGTTTATTGACGTAAAGTGCCCACTACTGCAAGAAACAAGAAACAAAAATACTTCCTCACAATAATTAACAAGAAGATGGATGTATATTTTCTAATTTTGTTGAGCATTTATGTGATAATTTATGTTTTAAGGTAATTGCTTATACAGTATGGTCATCGTTTGTGTGGCTCAGAATGTTGAGTTCTCAAAAAAGATGATCTATACATGTTTGTCCTAATAAATACTTAGTAACAGAGATGTCTTGTTTCTTCACACGTTTGACATATAAGCTAAGATACCGTACTGAGATTATTTTGGTCGTGTTAGGAATTGATTGTAAGGTCACCCATCAAGGCGAACAATGAACAAGTGCGATGACTAGGTAGTTCGACATTCCGTAATTCTAAAAAGGTCAAATGCGTAATTATATGTTTTACATATGTGTTGATTTTTATATCAATACACTACACTTCCATCTAAGCGTCCATCAGTCAGTATTTTATAAACACTTGAATTAAACTCACAGGGTTCTGCTCAGATAATAAAATATATCCTATCTAAAAAACAAAGTCTTTCGTTGCACAAAAAACACACATTTCCCGTTTGTGTTTGAACGGCAACAACTTTGTATCTTATCCTTGTGTAAAACATTTGACCACACTGGTCAGGACAATCCTTTCCATACGCCTGTATGTATGGCATGCTATGTCATAAAACAGGGAAAATAGTTCATGTTGTTCATCACTGGATTGTCTGGTCCAGACTCCATTATCTACAGACCGCCGTCATATAGCTGGAATATTGCTGAGTGCGGCGTAGAACTCACTCACTCACTCACTCACTCAGGTGAACAGATGACTAGATTTAGCACATGTTTATGACGGGTCCCACTGGCAGGATACGCTCACCTTTTCGCGAACACCTGGTATCATTCACTGTTTCATAAACACATGGTCTGTCATCGTATCGTCCCGTAAAGGTCCGGGTTAGAATGAACCTTCAGTAAGCCATGTTTGTCGTAAGAGGCGACTAACGGGATCGGGTGGTCAGGCCCGCTGACACATGTCATTGGCTCCCAATTGCACAGATCGATACTCATGCTGGTGATCACTGGATTGTTTGGTCCAGACTCGATTATTTACAGACTGCCGCCATATAGCTGGAATATTGCTGAGTGCGGCGTAAAACTAAACTCATTCATTCACCGTCATCGTAACGCATGGTGACAATCACTGAATTGTCTGGTTAAGACCCGATTCGTTTACAAACAACATCACACAGCTGTACACGTAATACTGCTGAAACAGATATCTGCTAATGATAATTTATAGTCACAAGTGCACAATCGACTCTGATTTAGGTAGATATTTCTTAAGAATATGGAAAGGGTTTTGTCGCTTCTGTTTCCGTAACTGATCAATAGCGTGCCGACCTTTTATACTACCCTTCTAGATGCGTAACATTTTTCACTGATGTAGTAAATAATAATAGATTTGTAAATGCACAGTTTACTAGTTACTGATATATTGATGTACTTCATTCATTTAAAAAGAGGTAATGCACCTGAAAAATATAATTTGACCCAAACACTACAAACGTTAACAAATAGCTGAAGTATCAGGTCTAGCACACACCTGAGGTTCAACTATCTGATCCAAGCCAAATAACCATTTCTTGATTGTCTCATTTTAACCACAAACACAGTCGATTTGCTCATCAATTTAGTTTGGATTAGACAAGAGACTGAAGCTGAACAAGTTTGGTTTATGTATTGGGTATAGGAATATTTGGTTTAAGCACATAAGGGTCGTTATTTCGTTCATGCGAATTGCAGGTATTTCCTTTTTGCTTTGATGACCTTAAGAGTGGGTCTGTTCCTTTATTCTCACTTCTTAAATAGTTATGAATAAATGTACATTGACATCTATTATATTACAATATGAGATAGATTTAGTGTTGCAGTTGAAAAGTGTTTAACAGTGAGATAGTTTAACGAGAAGGTAGACAGGACACTTTGCTTACACCATATGGTGCCGACGGGATCATGATCAGGGAGAATTTTGGAATGGAACTACAACCATCCGCACCTGGAACAAATAAGGACTAAACTCTTCACAACAAATGGCTCATTTTGTTCTCTATTTGCTATGTCAAACAAGTGTTTCAGCTAGCGTAACGAGAAAGGACACACATTGCCTTAACAATACTGTGTGTCAAATGCCCGCACAAATGAAATCTAAACATAATAAGCGACTGATACAAAAATCACACTTTTCTTATTGTTAATTTTCAGATTCATGATCAAACAGGCACACTATTATGCTTAGTTACAGCAGGCACTTTTGCTTTACATGCGCTGGCTTGTGTCCAAAATCAAATATTGCTCAATCTAACAAAATGACCAAACCCAAGTACATATATTTCCTTTATCAAAAGCAGCATTAATAGTACATTAATACATCTTTCACAAACATGGATCAGACAAGCTCGAAAAAACAAATCCACGTGCATATAAACTCAGTTTCTTTTGTCAAATATTAATCTCAAATATTCAGGAACATATAATTAAAATACCAACCTTCATATATCTCTTGTTGGAACAAAACAGGATTGGCGAATGTTTAATCAGTGATATACGACGTGATATGTTTCCTGAGTTTGAAAACACACATCAATATCTGCAATGACGCGTCAATAGCGATGTTCGGCATTAGAATGTCATTTTCTTCTACCCTCTGGTAGGTGGGTGGACACAAGGTCTGCAGGTGATCACACGCAAAGCACCTACGTTCAACATGGACGTGTGTGTATGCTATGACACTCAGCATCACGAATCATTCCCACATTTTCTGAATTACAGATAATCTATAATAAACTTAAATACTTGTATTACAAGGTGGGTGGACAGATGGCCTACAGGTGATCACACTTTCGACACCTTCCCACATTACCCAGCTTCCAGATAATCAATATGAAATTTCAATACTCGAAACTCAAAGGCTATATAAGTTTGGCCAATTGTCTGGAGATTCAGAGTACATCACCATGTCTCCACGTACAGTGATCAGCGTGCTTGTGGTTTGTTTCTGTCTGGCCTCCACAGAAGGACGAGCATTCAAAGTAAGTGTACTTCAAGCCATATTATACAACGTTACACTGATTACCATGATTTGGTCTTTATCCATGTTACTTCTGGCTTCAGTACTACTAATTTTTTCTTCAACGTATCATACAATGACACGTTAATAACTGTCACAGAAATATAAAAATTCGGGTGTTATTTCACTTCTTTTGAGTATACAGGTATTGGTAGTCTAACCATCATTAAAGAATGAGACGCAGAATGACATAATTCTCATCTATTTCATAATAAGTTTCAAAACACGTTTTTGGGGGGAAAGGTTAAATATTTTGCGGCTGATAAAACTCAGGCAGTTATTTACTTTCTCACAGAGTAATGTTATGAGGTCACATGACAACTATCGGCATTAACTGTATCCTATTCTTCTCCAACAGAATGAGAAAGCCAGGTTCAAGAGACAAGCTGGAGGCAGTGAGTATATAAATCAAACGCCTGCATATGTGTATACATTCCAAAATGTTATATCATAGTATAAAGTTGATCGGGTGAAAGCATACCTTATACAGGAGGTACAAGAACACTGTATGTATCAGATGGTCGGAAGCAGAGAAGCAAATGGAGCAGTAGCTATGTCTGTGGAGCAGTTACAAATAATATCATTTCGTAATCGACTTTGGCTTCCACATTTCAGTGATGGTATGTCACAGAAACAAATACATACAAAGGATATGATTTTATCAAATGGCTAAAGAAGTATTTCTGGGTGTATATATATTTCTTTAAGAATTGTGGTGTGACCAAATCAGTTTATTGTTTAAAATCTGATGATATATTGTTGGGAAATACATATAGTTCTCATAAATCATGTTCATGATATCGTACAGCATGAGCCGGTCCTTCAATGGTATTTTGTCCGAGGATGAGGCATGTAGTTGCACGCTGGAATGCAAGTTGGAGACAAGCTCCAGAGTGCCCAAATTCAAGAAAAACTTCGGGCAGAGTACAAATCTCGCTTAAAGAAAACCTGGAGCCCAGAGCTAAATGCTCGGAACAAGGTCAAAGCCAGTAATACTTTTGCTGTGCCAGTCCTTTCCTATTCCTTTGGAGTAGTTGATTGGACAAAACAAGACATCCAGAGTCTTGACCGCCTGACCAGAAGGATCATGTCTGATAACAGAGCCCACCACCCTCATTCCTCTCTTAACCGTTTATATATGCCAATCAATTCTGGAGGTTGGGGTTTGATTAATGGGGAGACTCTTCATGATAGAATTTTATTGTGGACTTTTGCACATATTTATTTATCGGTTTATCCTCTGGTGATGCATGTCAAGACTCATGATGAAAGCAAGGAATTCCACAGCTATTTTAATCGTGCCAAGGTTGTTGGACAGAATCTGAAATTTGAGGTTTACTTTGCTGATGGCGATGTACTGCTGGACGGTACAGCGATGGGAGTAAACCAGGTGAAGCCCCTCACCAAGTCTGCCCAGAGTCGGTCTTTTGTGGAGAAGCTTTCTGAGAAGCCATTGCATCGTGTGTACATGCAGTGTGTGGAACAGAATAGCAATCCCACCGACTCCTTCGCCTGGGTGAAGTCGGCTGGTCTTAAATGTGAAACTGATGGCTTCCTTTTTGCTGCTCAGGACCAGTCACTTCCCAAATGTGATTCTTAAGGAGAATATTAACATGAAATGTCGACTTTGCAATGAATTCACAGTGACTGTCCAACACCTTGTCAGTGGATGCCCTTCCTTGGCACAAACAGCATATCTTAAACGACATGATGGCATGGCTCGTTACTTTTATTACCGTCTCTGACATGCCTGTGGCTTTAACTCCGAGGTCCATCCATGGTACGACCCCGAACATGTCCAGGGCGTCATGGAAAATGATGCTTTCAAACTTCTCTGGAATAGGCCGATATACAGCCACAGAAGAATTCCAGCCAACAAACCTGATCTTGTCCTTTTTGATAAAGCCAATGAATTGAATTGAATCATTGAATTTTCTGTCCCTTTTGACAACAATGTGATTGGCAAGATTCAGGAAAAGCATACTAAGTATGCGGACCTCGCCTTTGAAATGTCTCGCTTGCATCCCAAGTACACTGTCAGGCTCCGCATTGTTCTCGGTGCCCTTGGTTTGGTACCTCCTCATCTCTGGGCGCAGATCAGGAGAGTGCCCGGGTTCTTCACCGGAAGCACAGCCCTTCGGACACTCTGGGTAATGCAGAAGGCTGCAGTGTTGGGGAGTCTTCATATTCTCCGGAAAGTTCTTGGTGGGTTTGACTAGGCAGCGTTTCCTGGGATAAGTCCCATTCACTGTCTGGGCTGCGTGTAGAGAGGGCAAGGGCCCTGAGCTGATAATGAGCCTGACTGTACCAGGATCATCCGAACCCTCTCTGCTGCATAATATCTTTAATATGTAAAACATAATAATAATAGCGTGTTCAGTCTGAACATTACGTTCTGTTCATGTAATCTTCTATGTTGTTTAGGATGTCATGGGGGCTTGCTTCAAGATGTCTTTGGAGCGATAAATATTGGCTTTGGTCAGTACGAAAACAACGAAGACTGCTGCTTTGAGATGCGCCCTTTCTTCGGTGGTTCTTTCACGGTCAAACTGGAGTTTAATGTCTTTGATATCGAGAATGGTCCTCGCTGCAGTTATGACTCCATTACCTACAGAACAAGCAATGGTAATACCGAGATCGACTGTGGCACAAAGAATCCTGGATACACAAGATTTTGTAAGGAAGCTTATATTGTCCTTTTATCTTACTGTCGTGTTAAAATCGACGGGACAACCAATACGTATCTGTGTCTTTACGAATCAAAAACAAAATATTAATCCCCCTAAGAAACCTTCATAAAGCCTTAAACAAAGTCATAGTTTATATACAAAATGTAATTCCAACAGAGACACCATGCACATATATAAGTCATTATATCCTGATAAACTAACCAGAGCAGCATCCAGTGTCACTAATTATGTGGTATTATTTATTGGAATCAGCAACTTACATTATAATGCATGATTGTGTCATGCTGTTTTCACAGTCAACAGTACGGACAGCTTCCAACTGTGTTTCCATAGTGACAGCTCTGTAGTTCGCCGTGGCATCAATGTCTACTATGATATATATCCAGGTATGTATATAGTGTTTGTTTTATTACTTAAAATAAAGCTACCTTTTTTGCAAGCGAAATGTTTCACTTCGAATCCGTCACATAGTTTCTTTTTCTCATCGATACAATACACTTCTTTGTCGGCCTTAAACGCCATCACTGCTAACCCGTCCTGAAACGTTACAGGCGCGCCTTCAGTGAACTTCACTACCGCTTACCCGTCCTATAACGCGACAACATCGCCAACACTGAACTTCACTCTACCCTACAACAACGCGACCTTCGCACCAGGAAACACGACCTTCGTTCCAGGCAACACAACCTTCATTCCAGGCAACACGACCTTCGCATCAGGCAACACGACCTTCTCACCAGGCAACACGACCTTCGTTCAAGGCAACGCGACCTTTGTTCCAGGCAACACAACCTTCATTCCAGGCAACACGACCTTCGCCCCAGGCAACACCACCTTCATTCCAGGCAACACAACCTTCGCACCAGGCAACACGACCTTCGTCCAAGGTAACACAACCTTCGTTCCAGGCAACACAACCTTCGTACCAGGTAACACAACCTTCGTACCAGGCAACACGACCTTCATTCCAGGCAACACTACCGTCCCCCCAGGCAACACAACCTTCATTCCAGGCAACACAACCTTCGCACCAGGCAACACAACTTTCGTACCAGGCAACACAACCTTCATTCCAGGCAACACTACCGTCTCCCCAGGCAACACGACCTTCATTCCAGGCAATACAACTGTCGCCCCAGGCAACACAACCTTCGTACCAGGCAACACGACCTTCGTACCTGGCAACACGACCATAGCACCTTCCAATGAAACGGGTCCTTACAGCACCATGAAAAGTAAGTTACTGTCATCTTATACCTTTGCTGTATAAAACAGTCATTGTTCAAACATATCAGTCGATATTTGAAATCGATTTCTTCAAATTTACTTATGAGGAATGTTTGTACTTTGGTGTTTCGGAAAAACCGTCAGAAACATCTGCATTATGATGTCAATTCCCATTTCAGTCTGCAACTACGATACTACTGTTCTTGAAGGCACAATAGAACTGGCAACTTCTAGAAATGGTTTCTATGCTAACAACGACGACTGTCGCATCAATCTCCGTTCACCTGCTTTACCCCACGTCACCACGATCACCTTCAACCGCTTTGATGTTGAATATGCTAGAAACTGTCGTTATGACAGCCTCTCTGTGAGTCTTGGTAACAACATCGTCGACAGACTATGTGGAAACAACAGAAGTACCTTCGTGAAAAGATGTAAGCACATTGTAGGGGTATAAAAGTCATGATATATAAATCTCACCACAGGTACACGTGCAACTTTGCACCAGTCTGATAGCCAACTGACATATCTATACTTTACATCAAACCATCAAAGAAGAATAAGATTGTATTCGACAGTAATATTGTTCTGTCAAGTATCGGATACCACCGCTGACGGTATTCACACATTATACTTAACTAGGAACAGTACTCGTATCCTCATTGTGAGAACTGAACGTTTCAACCACCAAGCTGACACACCGAAACGAAAATACATAAATGATGCTTTCTTCTTTTTTTTCTCATAGACTCAAAACGTTTGCATCACTTGTATGACGTCATTTGACTGTTATCCGCCAACAATTTTTTATTCCCCAGACACAAGCGCCGAGCCACTCCTCGCCCTGACTTTCACCAGTGATTACAGTGTCACCGGTCTTGGCTTCGCCTTCCATTACAAGACTGAAATAGGCAAGTAATGCATCTTCGCATGAGATACTTCATCAGTGATGAACAAATATGGTGATAGCTTTGAAATGCTCAGTACACTCATGTACTTCAAGGTTGATGGGATTGCACCCACCTTGATGGGATTGCATCACCTTAAGAACATGATTATCTCCCTTGTCATGTTTGTAATCTATGTGTGTATACATGTATATGCATATACTTCTTATATCTTTACAAAAACAATTCCATAAAAACTTCAAATATAATCACATTTCTTCCCAGAACATATGCAATATCGGATACTTTTAAAATGAATATTTCTGTTTTCCTTTTTTAGTGGCATAGACAGGCTGACCGACACATCAAGACCTTGCTGACAACTATGCGAGTAAATAAACTCAGTGTACTCTGTATATGTCGTTTCGTTATTTCAATACCTGAATGTGTCACGTGGCTATAAATGCCACTTTGAACATAACGTGTCATATGGGTCAGACGTATGCATCGTAATTCGCTGTCAAGAGATGTTTCCAAAGGTGAGGTGAGGTGAAATTGGGTTTAACGTCGTGCTTGAGAATATTTCGCTCATATGACGACGTGCATGCGTGTGTAAGTGTATGTGCGGTGTCTTGTACCAGCCCAGACTTAAGCTGGTTTTATAGTGCTAGCCCACTGAGGTACCATGCCTCAGTGAAGCATGAATACCCCACCCAGACACATTATACTGACTCCGAGCCGACCAGTCCTTGTTGTACCCATTAATGGCAGGGACCAACAAGTACCATATTTTAACGTCTTCTGGTATGACGCGGTCGGGGATCGAACCCGAGACCTTCCGCTCTCCGGGAGGGCCCTCTAACCACTACACCACGGAGACGGTCTGTTTGCCTTGGCTGCACTGGAGAATTACAGTCGTGGGTTCAGATCAAAGATTATGTTCCTAGGTTTGTCAGCGTCCTACCCTGCTATGGGTTTCAACAAAATAGTAAATGGCAAAGAGCTACATCAATGCGTCCTTTCTGCACCCATTAACATTACACATCGTGACAAGGATGAACTTCTTTTTTTTAAATCGGCAACAAACGCAACAGTTACTCAAACAATCTTAAAGACATTCCAGAAATACGTTATAAGGCAAACATCATTAGACGGTTCTATCTGTGAACCTTCTGAAATTCATTGTTAGGAATTAATACAAACTGCCATTAGGCATAACAAAAATACATGCGCTTCCACAGCAACAAGGCGTTCGTGAGGATATGTCGAAGACTCCACGAGGTTTGGCCTTGATAACCTTTTCTCTCGATTTCTTCATGATCTGTGCTCATTTATTTGAACAAGAGATGCATGGCCCATGCTCGATCTTCCCATTACATATACATTTACACACTACAAATATACATACCTATATGTATCTTCCGAAATCTACGTGTTGATGTACACACTGTCCATGATGCTGAGTCTACAAATCTATACCGTTGATGTTAAGGTGCGTTCTCACGGTGCGACTTGTAGTAACAACTTGTAGCATGCAACACAATTGCAACGTGAGAACACCAAAGTCGTAACGATTTGAAATCGCATACAACTAGTTGCAACCGAGTTGAAAGACATAGGACTTGTCCTAATTCCTACTACAAGTCGCAAGCTCTCGACCAATCAAATCGCTGAGATATGTGTCCACCTCAGAGTGACGTCCCCTTTGTTTATGTTGACATCATGTCGGAGCCACGCCAGAAAAAGATCGACCTCACCAGGGAAGAAACCGAGCGATTTATAGGTTTCTTCTTGTCCCAGGAATGCCTATGGAATGTTCAACATGCCACATATTCCAAAAGGGACAACAGGCTGGCCGCACAGTCAATGATCGGGGAACAGATGTACTGCCACGGGAGAGAAATGACAGGTGACTTCCTCTTCGGTCACTAGCAGACGACATTTGTCTATTATTTACACGCTAATCGTATATATTCTCCGCGACTAAAGTCGTAAAGACATTATGATTAGCACGTTATGGCAGTAATTTTCACCTGCTTCATCTCTGCTATTGTCTGTTTCATTGGAACAAGTTGCGGCAAAAATCGCAAGTCTACGGACTTATTATGGCCGGGAACTAAGAAAAATCACCCAGTCAGAGAAAAGTGATGCAGGGGTGGATGACCTGTACCATTCATCGTGGGAGTTTTTCGCAGTCCTGGATCCCTTCTTGAGATGCCATGTACAGCAGAGGCCTTCTACTAACAATCTGGTAATTGTTAGTAATTATGCTATCTCCGTCGGTTATTATGGAATTTGGGATGCATGCAGAAAGGATTTTATCTAGCGAACTCTTTTTCATATTAATAATAGCGTCAAACTGTGAGATTAAACATTTAAAAATTACAATATAAAATTATGGTGCTTATAAATTTCTGTTTCTCATGATTGATTTATTTCATTTGGAGTGAAGGTAGCAATTACTGCATTGCCTAATTTTGTATATAAAGGAGGTTGGTATATTTCTTTTATTGATCCATGTGGTGATTCTGCTGAGATGTGATTTACATCACCAATTGAAAAAGAAATTGAATTGAATTGAGACAAGACATGAAATGACATTTGAGTTTCAGTTGTATTATTCCTTGCAAAGTACAAACAATGATAAGTATATGGTCTGTCACATGTTCATGAATGATAACATGTACCATCATGTTGTCAAATACCCATTTGTGTCAGTTAATAAAATGCACATTTCTTTCAGATAAGGGAACCAATTTCTGCAGCACCCATCACTATTACTGATGACAATGAATGCACAGGGAGCATTGAGTGCACCATGGATTCCACTGACAATGGCTGCAGTCAAGAAGTTAGTAATTGCCATCTAAAATTACAGTTCCTGAGTCACTGATTTGTCATCTGTGAATACTTATTATATGTATACATAAATTCAGTCCTTCCACATTTTACATTTCACATAAGTAATGTCACTTTTCAAAGTTTATACCACCATATCCCACTGCCAATCAACTTGACCTTCTGTCATAAAATAATCAGCGAGCTCATCTCGCACTTCTCTTGCATTGCTGGCATTTCTGTTCCCTCCCTGCTGTATGAAACCACGGATAACACTGTGTACATTAGCTGCATCATTAGTGTTATAGATTGGGTCAGAGTTTGATTTGAGAAAGTTATGTTATGAAACACTTGCCAAGACAACTGAACTGGCAACTTCTGGTGATACTTGTGGAGGTTTTTGAAAGATGCAGAATCTGTTGACCAGAAGGCCAAATGCATTTTCAGATACTCTCCTTGCTCTTGACAGCCTGTAATTAAATACTCTTTTCTCATAAGATAAATCCCTCATAGGATAAGGCTTCATCAAGTGTGGCTTTAGTTGGAAGGCATCATCTCCGACAACAACGCTAGGCACTAGTTCATGTCGGCCCTCCAAGGGAGTTGGTTGTGGAGTATTTAATGTGTTATGCTGTAGTGCATAGGAAAGCTGGGAATTAGCATATACTGCTGCATCTCCAGCTCTGCCATTGGCTCCCACATCTACAAATATAAATTTGCAATTTGCATCCACCAATGCCAATAGGATGATATTGAAAAATTTCTTGTAGTTGAAGAATTCAGATCCTGTATTGTTGGGTGCCCGAATTGCAATATGCTTGCCATCAATTGCACCAATGCAGTGGGGGAACTGCCACTTTGCCATGAATTCTTCCTGAATGTTGCGCCAGTTACGTTCAGTAGTAGGAACCTGAAAATAATATTATCAAATCATGTATATCAGTGTCTTGTTTAACTCAATTAAACACATATAAACTTATAATGTTTTAATTAACGTTTTGTCAAGCATGTAAAAGATTGTATCTGACTTGTTTTCATAGAACTAACTCCTGACAACATATTTTTCAGACATCACACTGCAGTGGTTATGCAGTGTTCAAAAAAAAGACAAGGCTCAACCACACCCAAAGAAGAGGAGGAATCAAGCAACAGGAAGTCCTGAATTAAAAAACTAATGTACAGGACATTGGAAAGGATATCTCAAAAGAAAGCCAAAAGTGACACAAATGATTGTGACATTTTGTTTGGTCAGCAGGTTGGGCTCGAGCTTAAAAAAATTGAAAACCTAAGAAAGAGACAAGAACTGAAACTGAAAATCTATTCACTGCTTTTGGAAAATCAGTTTGAAAATGAGGCCTAAATATCAAATGATTTAAGGCAGGGGTGTGTCAGCAATTTTGTACATAGAAATATTAAAATGTTATGCTTTAAAAATAAGGAAGGGTGAGGTGGGGGTCATTGATTTTGTACATGACATGCAGGGAGGATCACTTACTTTGTACATAAATTCCAGGGGGGGGGGTGTAATTCACATTGTACATACTTTTCCATAAAAATCATCATCACCGCCCCCAGCCATAAATTATGAACATTCCGTAACATATGTAAAATATAGTTCTCTTTAGCTGAAAATAGATGTTTCCGCCTATTTATATGTTTAAAATACTTCCATCAAATAATAAACATTCATGTATCATGTAATCCTTGTCTGTTTTATGTCTATGTGATTTTTTTTACATAGTTGAAACCTATTTTGTTTAACTCACATTCATCCCTGACAAATTCTTAAGTGTGGTTTATGCACTGATTTTCAAGAAGATCTGTAATGATATCTAAAACTGTTCAACAAATTTTAAAGTATTTTATTAACAATTGGTGTTTGTTCGTTTTATTGATTTGTGAATAATGTGGTACCTACAAGTAGTCTTGTTGAAGTACATCATAGATGGCTTTACAGACACAAGGAACAAAGTTGCAGATGGTATTCCGTGGCACCCGGTACAGGAACTGAAGGGAGCTGTAACTGTCACCTGTGGGTGAAAAAAAGTAATATTTCAAAACCCCATTTCCAACATTAAACGCTTTCGTTTGCATGAACATTTACATAAATGTTTCAATTTATATTTACATTTGCTAAATTCATATCCCACTTCCTGTACTCATTTGAATAATCCAGAGTTTCACTAATGACACTCATTTTATGATGCTTCGCGCACTCAAGAACATCTACTGATTATCCTCCCTTCATACTTGATGCAGAGTGCTTTTTCCTTAGTTCAAGGTGGTCAACACGCGGAAGTAGGAATTGCCGTGTCTTTTGATAATATTTTGTACTGATACGTACTTGAAACCTAACAGAATAGTTGGATTCTTTGCGAAATGAAACGGCAGTATCTGTGCTTCATTTACACACCATATAACTTACCGCTTGCTAAATATCGTAAGGTGAGTGCCAGTTTCTCTCCAACGGGAATACTGTTTCTCATGGGGGTACACTTCTTCTCGATGTATGGAGAAATTTTCTCCAACAAAATGTCAAAATTCGCCTTGTCCATACGGAGAAAATTCTTCAGTGACCTTGGATCTTCCTGTTCAAGCTCTCGAAGAAGCGAATTATACGCTCCAGCCGTGTTCCGCCTAAGAATCCAGTTACGGACCCACACCGATTTAGGCTTTCTCTTCTTTTTTAGCGACTGCGATATGTGGACCAACATTATCATGGCTAGCGTTTCTTCTTCACTCGACGAATCCATGTTGCAGAGTCATACGTGAGAATCTCGCGAGATACGAGTTGTATACGACTTAAAAAGTACACAAATAGCAAAGTCGTTACGATCTTTGTTGTTACTACAAGTCGTATGCTACAAATTGTTACTACAAATCGCACCGTGAGAACGCACCTTTACGCAGTCTACACATACATTCCGTGTATGTTCAGGAATTGATATTCACATACTGTCCGTGATCCTCGAATACACTCCCTTGTGCATGTTCATATTTTGGTGAGCATGCAGTTACACAATGCTCATATACTGGAGATACACGTACATGTCCGGGAGTCTACAGCTTGTTGAAAGTCAGGTGTACATGTATCCTGCTTATTCATAGATACTAGGATACAGACATCGTGCGTTTGACATCGTATGGTTCCAGTGGTTTGCTATATTTAGACTCTTGTTATATTTTAAACATATTTATTCAAGAGAATGGGTTGGATACAAGTTAGTCCAACTTAGTGAAACCCTCTATTATTTACAGATCTTACATGCAAAAGTGAAACAAACTTTATGTACAGGGTTAGAAAGATATATACAAAAGGAGAATAAGACATTTAAAATAAAATAATACATTGAATACATGAATTATTTAGATCATAATCAAAATATCCAATTACTGAACCTTCTGGAGTTTAATACATATTTTGTAACTTCTTTAAAAATCTGAATATTGTCACTGTACATTTCTGCACTGCCATTTAATAGTACCTCTAGGTTTGTTGGTGCTCTAATGCTACACATTCTGGTAATAGTTTGAAACATTTCCTGTCTGATATTAGAATACAAAGAACATTCCATAAAATAATGATGAGAATTTCCACAGGTAAATTTACAATTACATTCAGGGTTCTCCATAAGACCAATCCTATATAGATCATCAATTAAGTTACTATTTGCATTGAGTTTTCTATTACCAAATGAGAAATATCCTGGTGCGATTTACAACTTTTAAGGGAAACTGGTTCTCTAACATATAACGGGAGATTATTCCAAAGTGGTGAAGATGACGGGGAAAATGTTTGACTGTAGAGACTTGTGCGGGAATAGGACAGGGGACAATCAAGAATGTTTCTAAGATTATAGGGTACAGACATCGTGAGTTTGGCACCTTGTTATGTAGCAGTGTTATACAGAGGTTAACAATGTTCCAAATGCATATGGTTCCAATGACTTGTATATTTAGCCTCTTGTTATATTTAGAATAGTTCTGGAAGGTACTACATGGGACTACAACCCAATGGGCCTTTCCAGCCACGCGAGTAGAATAACCTTCTGGAGTCTTTTTCTTACGTTTACTTAAGGTAGCTACCTCTTACCTCCCCTCACATTACATTTCACATTACAAGAAAACCAACAGTTGTGTGTAAGTCATTCTGGATAATTAGCCTAGCTCTATTTTGGTGAATATTCCCTGTTTTGTCTGTTTGTTTTAACCGTAATCTCTGCTTATGCATTATACTGTCTTTAAATGTATACTGCCACGCTTTTTTGTAATGCCACCCATACCTTTGTGGTGATTTGTATTCATTATTAACCTCAGTTAAGTTTAGAATACAATTGTCACTTATATCACATTGCTGTTTGTTGGTTTCACACTGAGTCCTTTTGCGGACTTTCAGTTAACCTTAAGTTGGGAATCATCACTTAATCTGTCTTAACGAGGGTTTGAGGAAATTTGAAGAATTCACCAGCACGTTTCCTGAACAACGGGACGCCGGTGACAAAAATGCCAACAGGCACAAACGAAAACCTTATTGACGAACAAACAAACTGAGTCGGTGTGAAAAAAAGAACATACTTAATGGCTATCAACATTTAGGAATCATTTTCAAGCTGGTAATATTTTCACTGAAAAAACAGATACTTGGTGGCTATCCACATGCAGGAACTATTTTTAACCTATACATCTTCACGGTTACTTCATTTCTATTTTCACACTGTCAAATGTTTAAAGGTCCAACTATTGCATACATGAAAACTGCAGTTAAAGAATGGATACATTGTCCTCACCCAAGCTTTGACCACCTCTGCTGCTGTTTGACATGACCTGGCAATACCAAGACTGTCGTTTCTGTTGTGAATGTCATGATTGTGCGAGTTGCCATTGATGAAATATTTGTCAGAAATGATGGTGTTTATCGACAGATACACATTCCTGTTGTGTTGGAATGCACACATATATAGATGTGTGCATGTATTAATCAATCCCACATTGTGAAAGTAATACCCAATGATTGTGCATGGTTTTGTGTGTCGAAATCCATAAATGCCTTTTTTCTCAACCAAACTAAAACTTGACACTTGTTAAGTTGAATGTAAGATGACATTAGTGTGTGCTTTAAAATAGAAATGTATGAAACAGCTATCATAAAGATAAAATACAGAAGGTGATAAGTGGATTGCGGGGCTTGTTTTATTGGGAAAATAATGCATAGTCAAAGAGTGCTTGCAATAGTTCTTGCAATATACGTTGGGTTGGGGCCTCGACTGCTTCCAAGGTCATCCCAAATGTGTTTGATCAGCTTCAAGTCTTCGTACGGGAAGGCCAGTCCACAACATCAATACCAGCATTAGGTAAGAAGTTGCACATCAGAACTGCAGTACACTTGGTCCACTGGAGGACAGACAACCAGCTGGGATCGCCCGTTTGCACATATGTTCACATAATCATTATGCTTCCGCCTCAAAACTAGTCAACCTCACGAAGCCAACACTGTGCGTGACGTTCACCTTCCTGAGCTACAACCGCTCCCTGCCAATGGCTTAGTGCACCATGGCTGCATCTGTCAGGTGTGCAGACTCATTGTAATCGTTGAGCATGGCGAAACTACCTTAGGATAGGTCCTGTTTATTGTTTTTATTACTGGTCCTGTTTTACTACTGCAAGAAACAAGAAACTAAAAATACCTCCTCAATATAACTATCAATAACATGGATGTATATTTTCCAATTTTGTTGAGCATTTATGTGATAATTTATGTTTTAAGGTAATTGCCTATACAGTATGGCCGTCGTTATTGTCCTTTGTGTGGCTCAGTATGTTGAATTCTCAAAAAGATAAACTTGTACATGTCTGTCCTAATAAATACTGAGTAACAGAGTGGCCTTGTTGCTTCACACGTTTGACATATAAGCTAAGATACCGTACTGAGATTATTTTGGTCGTGTTAGGATATGATTTTAAGACCACCCATCAAGGCGAACAATGAACAAGTGCGATGACTCAATAGTTCGACATTCCGAGACAATGTAATTCTTAAAAGGTCAAATGCATAATTATATATGTTTTACATATGTGTTTGATTTTTATGATAGTAATACACCACATTTCCATCTAAGCATCAGTCATTTAGCACTTTATAAATACTTGAATTAATCTCACAGAGTTATTTTAGCTTCAATTTTACACATTCTTTGTAGGTAAAGGGCCACACATGGGAGCGACTTCTTCAGACCCCTATGTTCTTCTCAGACAATAAAATATATTCAGTCTAAAAACCAAGGTGTTGCTTGACAACGACATTAGAATCTATGTCGAAACGTCGCCTATACAGAATTAAGAAGTTGTATATCCATAAAATTAGTCAATTTTTTCAAAGTGTTTCGTTGCACAAAAAAACATATTTCCCGTTTGTGTTTGAACGGTAACAACTTTGTATCTTATGCTTGTGTAACACATTTGACCACACTGGTCAGGACAATGCTTTTCATTCGCCTGTATGTATGACATGCTATGTCATAAAACAAGGAAAATACGAATCCAGTTGCATCAACGCGGATAAAGACGAATATCACGACCAATGTTTTGTTAGTTGGCATAGGTATGGAGAACTCAGTCAATATTGCCTTCCACCAATATGTATCTATTGTGCGTTTTCTAATGTTTACAATAGTTCCTAGTTTTCTAACGATATATAGATTGAATTGAAGAAATAATATCTGTACTAAGGATAGAATTGAAGAAATTATATCTGTACTATATATATATATGCATGTATATGCAACATGTTCCTTAGTGTAGAACTTAACACCTATCAGGCTATACACCATAAACAAAACGCATTGATTTATGGCCCGAGTTTGGTCTCTGTCACATTATGTAATTACACAGACAGGCAGGTGTGATACTTGTACACATGACATGTTATGATGTCTGGGGATTGCAAAATGTTATACACAAAAAATGAGCATGTATTTACAAAAGCCAACATCTATATACACACACACAATGAGCCGTGAGGGCATTGGCAAATGAACCAGCCGTTACACTTGAGTGCACACCGACCCGTGATAATTGTGTTTTAATTATGTTTGATATTTTGGTTACATGTGACCTTTAGGCACTTAAGGATCGTTTATCATGATTACCATGATTTGGTCTCTATCCGTGTTACTACTGGCTTCAGTACTTCTGTAGGTTTCTTCAACGTATCATACAAAGCCACATTAATAACTGTCATAAAAATATAAATATTCGGCAGTTTTTCCCATCTTTTGAGTATACAGGTATTGATAGTCTAACCATCATTATAGAATTAGACGCAAAATGACATCATTCTCATTTGTTTCATAATAAGTTTGAAAACACGTTTTTGGGGAAAGTACATATTTTGCGGCTGTTAAATCTCAGGCAGTTATTTACTTTCTCATAGACTAATGTTATAAGGTCACACTCAAATCACTATAAAACAATCGGCATTAACTATATCCTATTCTTCTCCAACAGAATGAGAAGGCCAGGTTCAAGAGACAAGCTGGAGGCAGTGGGTATTTTAATCAAACGCCTCCATAAGTGTATATATTCCAAAATGTTATATCATAGTATAAAGTTGATCGGATGAAAGCATACCTTTTACAGGAGGTACAAAAACACTGTATGTATCAGATGGTCAGAAGCAAAGAAGCAAATAGAGAGAAGTAGCTATGTCTGTGGAGCAGTTACAAATAATATCATTTCGTAATCGACTTTGGCTTCC